CTCTCAAACCAATGTTCCTCTCTATCAAGGATGAGAACATCTTCATCCCTGAAAGAGTGACCGCTGGCCTGCAGATGAGTGTAAACTGCAGAGTCCTGACCTGATGATGTAGATCGTCTGTGCTGGCTCATTTTTTTGAACAGTGGCTGTTTTGTTTCCTAGATGTTTAACTGATCACAGTCCTCCTGACACTTATAACAGCATACACAACATTACTCTGTTGTGCCAGGGGACCTGGTCTTTGGGATGAACCAGTCTTTGCTGTAATGTGATTTGGGGTTTGAAAGCCACTGAGACGTCATGTTTTCAGTATGACAGACTCCTGTGAACAGTAGGTGATAATGTAATGACAGTGAGGTGTTAATGAACAGGATCCTGTATGAACAGGGGATAATCAGGGCACTAATGATGTATTGTTAGACTGAGGGTACACTCTTGTACGTAAACAGTTATTTAAAATGATCGCACAGACCAGTTAGGCTTTAAGCTCCCCGGGTCATTCATAGAAGCAGGCCGGTTCCTGCTCATGTGTATGCTTTCAGAAATGAACCCGGCAGTACCAAAAGAGGTGTGGTTAGATTTTCTTAAAGAGACAGAGACCAATTTCAAGACGTTTAGAAACTGTCAGGATGAGAAGTAAATTGTTTTGGGGATTTTTACAAATATATTGCTCTTTCAAAAGCTGAAAATGTGACATACTGTAGTTACTTTATTTTAGTATAAAATTGAAATACTGTATAGGCTTGGAAAGCACATAATATTGCCCCCTTTAAAACTTACTTTATACTGCCCAACAGACAAACAAGTAGTTATTTCATCAGACTGCAGAACTTGTGAAGACCGAACTGCTTAGCAGGAACAGCTTCCATCATTTTACTATAATAGATACAAATAAAGTTAGACTGACTTGGTTATTTGCTGTTGTGTTGATTTTGTATCTTTCAGATGGCTTGATGTAAGTGTATTCAACCTGACCAGTACCAGGTACTGGGTGGTGTACCTGCAGGTCATACAGGAAGCTGTGTGGCCAGGAGGATGTTTGCCGACCGCCCCTCCACTGAAACGCAGCCAGCAGCAGAAGGACTGCACCAGGCAGCAGGCTTTAGACTGCCTGATGAACCTGTTACCAGGTAAACACTTGGATCACTGCACATATTATCAGTTCTGTCATATTTATATTAGTTTTATTTTTGTAAACTAAAGTTAATATCAGACCCTTCTATCATTTAGTCTCTTGTCTTTGTGTGTGTAGATTTGGTGTCTGACATGTTGGGTTCAGAGAAGTACAAACAGAGCTGGCAGACTGCCCTGGACTCGTTTCAGAACCCCTACATTAACAGGTATTTATTTATAAAGGATTTACCACGTTACATGTATGTACCCTTCACTCACTGACTGCTGTAGTTCATATCACTTCAGTATTAGGGCAGATTTTTTTACAAACTTTATTCATTTCTTTAAAAACAACAAAATGTATGTAGAATATAAAATACAAATCACAAATAAGATGAAAGGCGGCAGAAAGTATCTGTGATTTTTTTCTTCTCAAAAATAAATTTTAAACATAATAATCTACAAACAAAAACTATACAAAAAACAACCTCAAATCCTTGTTGAACAACATTTGTATGAATACACAATTATTATAATTTATAAACTTTATTAAGAGTGGTGATTTTATTTTATCAGGAGTTAGTGCAAAACTTTTAGTTTACTGTTTTTTTCTTACATCAACATATGATTAAAGTCTCAAACATCATTTTTTCACATTCTGTATCCAGCAAAATGTGACTGACAACTGCTGCATGACAACAAATAAATATCTATGTTCTTGGCAAACACTGAAAAGTAACACAAACAGATTTTTGTGCGATTTGAAGCTGTTGGAGACACCTTCACTTCCAGATGTGGGCTGTGACATCACACCACATCACCTGACACTGCTACATTTCTGTTACACAGCTTTACAGTGGACTGTTTCCTGAAAATCAAGAACACTTACATGACACATGTGACATTTGTCAAAATAAAACAGGCAGACTGAATGTCTGTTAGCAAACAGCAACAATACAGAGAGTTGAATTTAGAGAAGTTGAACTCCAGACTGAGGAAAGGAGCTGTGTTAACTAATAATAATAATACTTCTAATCCATTAGTCTGACTTTTATAGACTCTCAAAGATACTTTACATTATTCATTCACATTGTAAAGACAAATTTGATGTTTCTTTAGATTATTTTAAGTTGCTGTCAAAGAGAGACGAAGAAGAGCTAAAGTTGAAATAGTTTTGTTTTAATAAACAGACACCAGCAAGTTTATTTTATTAATGAGTTCCCCTTTGATGTCACTTCCTGTTTCACTTTGACTGAGCCAAATTCAAAATAAAACGGGTAAAATCATGTGTACTATGCCAATTTTCTTAAGTATAAAGATGATTTCTTTGACTTTTTGTGTTTGAAGGGTAAGCACTTTAAATATCTTGTTTTTGTAATGAATTCAGTTGAATATAGGTTAAAAAGGGTTTACAAATCATTGTATTCTGTTTTTAATAAATGTTTTTATTTATACAATGTCCCAGCATCATTAGAATTGAGGTTGTCTATTTTATGTCAGTTTTTATTGAAGAATTTCCCTGCTGCTTGTGTGAAAGTCCTGGGGTTGTAAGAGGATTAAATCAATGATTTTAATCTGATAAATCAAAGGTTTCTAAACTTTTGGATTCTGATTAACTACATTTTTTAACTGCTTTATCCAAACAAAAACAAACATTGAACTAACATCAAATATAATAGGAAAAATCTTAGAAGCTCAACTCTTGAAGTGTAATATTCAGAGATGATCCTGTGGAACATTAGGAAAAGATTACTGGTTACCAGTGGTGGGCACCAGTCCACTAAAGTGCAAATCCACTAATTGTGGACCTAAATATTTCATTTGTGCTTTAGCGGTCTTACTAATTTTTATAATTCATAAGCAGATTTGCACTTTCTAAAATTAAATTCCAGTACCACTAATAACTAATTATCTACCAGTCATCATTATGTTGAACAGCAGAAGGTATGTCTGTCAATGAATCACAACACATGTGATCTATCCAACAGCACCCCTCCCAGATAAACACTCTTATTGTGAAGGTATACATCCTGCTGACTGTTGCTTTGGGTCACGGTTCTGATTTCCCACAATGCTTTGTGTCTGCTTACGTAGCAGGAAGGCAACAGCAAAAACAGTAAATGTTTGTAATCCATACTAAAATTTTGTATGTATTGATTTATTTTACTTCACAATTGGAGCTACTTTTTTAAAAAAAATAAAGTTTAAACACTGGAGCTCAATACTTGATGTAATTGGTCGAAGCAATCGGCCAGCGGGAGTTATGCTCTGTTCACCGAACGTGTTTTGAGCGGCCAAAAAACACAAAACGTCTCTCGTTGGACGCACTGTGTTCAGACTGAAGAACGCACTAGTGTTCAGACCAGAACAAGCAGCAGCAGCGAGGTGTGGGAGGAGCGTGTCCTCGGTGGGTTAATAAAGATAAAATAAAAGAAAATAGCTTTGATTTATTTACTAAAGAGCAAGCTAACGTTGCGCACAGCAGATAATTAACTCACCAGATGATTTAGAGGTGATTTGTTCGGTTAGTTACGTCACTCCAGAAGATGCCAGCTGACGGACTTTTATTTTTTTAGTCCTGAGCAGCTGATCCACATCGGTGCTGATATATCCTCCCAGAAAACCCACCTGCACACGGTCGATTTCAGGTAAAGATCTCCAGTCCGTCTGTTTCGGTTTTCAGTGGGAGACGCGTCGAATGGTGAAAAGTTCAGATATTTGAACTCTGGCGGTGGCTCGTGCGATGGCTGCTTCTGCAGCACCGTATGCACGGAAAACGCTCTGCGCCCCTTCCCCCTTCCTTGCACACCGCCCAAAACGTACGTGACGCGACACACGACCCCTAGAGGCGCGTCCTCCATAGACTTTACATGTGAATCTGCTGCTCCTGCAGCTCAAAACACGTTCGGTGTGAACGTAGCATTAGAGATGATTTAAAGATGTTATGCTGGTGAAGACTGACATCTAGTGGTCAACTGGAGCAACTACATGGAAAACTTTAAAATCCAAGCTCTTATTTTGAAGATAGTTTCCTGTACTCCGTGCTTTCGTTTCCCGTCACAAATCAAATCTGTCATGTACCCAGACTGCATCGCTTCAATTTTCCAATAAACAGTTTTAAAATTCCTTTATTGATGCTTCTTTAATGAAAAATCTACAACAAACAAAAGAAAAAGACAAAGAAGCAGCCGAACTAGYAATCCTCAACAACTTTTTAATTTTTACACCAGGAGCCAAAGGTCTGTTTCAGGAAATCACATCCCCAGCAATCAATGGTTGTAAGATTAAGTTGTAAAAGAGTTCATTCACCACTAGTTGGCAGTGTTGTACATATATTGTACATGAATTGTTGTCAGCTAGTAAGTGTCAAAATGAACTTGTGCTTTAAAATTAGCTTCTGCTAGTTTTTCTGTGGCATAAGCGATTTTGAAGTTGCGGACCTAAATATTTTCATAAAGGCTTTAGAAATTACGGAGCTAATTTTTGGATTAGCGCTGCCCACCACTGGTAGTTATGTGTTAAAGTGTGGTGGTGAACATAAAGCAGTGTTTGGATCATCTCAAATATCATGGTTGATTTCTGACTGCTGCTCTTGTGTTTCTGTAGGCACTTGGTCTACTGCTTATTTGATCTTCTGTTGGACTTCCTGGTTCCTGAATTAGCAGAGGAGAGCTTCCAGAGGAGCCTTCTGCAGAGCCTCTATAAGAACCCAGAGAAGCTGATGGGCTGAGGAGACGAGTCAGAATCACACATCCAGACACAGTTTCACCTGGATTACTGAGATGCATCAGGACATCCAGACACAGTGTTTGTCTTCCTTCATCCAAGCTGAGGTTTTTACTGTTAATGAAGACAAACAGTGCAGACTGCAGCCAGGCTGCTGCTCTACTGATACAAGTAGAGGCTTACCAGAGTCACTATGTCCTGTACAGTGTCATACTTTAAACTCACACACACACACACACACACACACACACACACACACACACACACACACACACACAC